TGGAGCTTTCATGAGCTTGCCTTGTACAAGTTGTACTGGCTTTTTCAATTTTGTGACTTACTTACAATTTTTTAATGGGATCATATTAAGTATACCATTTTGTAACTTGCTCTTTATTTGGCATCTTTTCGGTACCTATTGAGGTACCTCATACTTTCTTACTGCTATAGCTGGGAGACTTTTGGCAAGTTACTTAACTTCTGTGAGCCCCCATGCTTCTCATCCCTGAAATAGGACTAAGACTACTGTAGAATTCTTATGAGGATTATATGAAATAAAGCGTTTAAAGTGCTTGGCCAAGTGCCTGCTGCTGTTATTGTTGAGTTTCACATTTAGGAAAGGAATAGCTTCTTACATCATCATTGTTCTATCGTCATAATGGGTGGAAATTGAAGTTTTTTAATTTTTCAACTGTTTCAAAAGAGGATACAGTTCACATCCTCCCCACGTGCCTATTGGGAGTATTTCTTAAGGACAGATTCCTTGAAGTGAGATTACCGATTCAGGAAATTAGCCTTGATCAGAATTGCCCTCCAGGAACCAAGTTTTTACCATTTGTAATCGGCTCCAACCTGCATTCATTTGCCTTTAAGAGTTTCTGAGGTTGCTGTATTATAGAGTGTCCCTGGCTGCTGCTGCCAGTTTGATCTCCGCTCTATTTTTTTGATTCCTTACCACATTTTTCCAACTGAACATCTCCTCTTTTTTTCTTGCTTACCATTTGTACATGCTGATTTATAAACATGTACAATAAAAATACTCTTATTCAATAAGAGCATTCTTGTCTTCCAGAAGTAATTAGTAGTGCAGGCAGTCCCCGACTTACTATGTATTTGAGTTACAATGGACCACATTTATGACAGTCATTTTTTGTTTTTTTGGTTTTTTTTTTTTTATCGTTAGTAATACGTGCTACATACAATATTGCGGCACATAATTCTCATGCCAGCCCCCAGAGACAAAGATTGGCTTTATAAAGATACTGATAATAAAGGGCAATAATAATGAAAATAAAAGTGAGGTGTTCGACTTGCATCAGAACCAGCTTATGGTAGTGTCATCGGAACAGAACCCTGTCATAATAAGTTGGGGACTACCTGTAGTTCATCAGGTCTGTTCTCTGGATCTTTATCTCTGCTGCTGCTGCTTTTTTTTTTGGGGGGGGGAGGCGGCTGCTGAAAGAAGACTTTTTCTCCTTCATCCTAAATGATGCTTAAAAGTTTATTCTGCCTTCTGACTTGGTCTCCTTTTTTCCCCTAGTTGTTACAAAATGCATTAAAAGGTATACAGTCACTTCTAAATAGTGGGAAGATGAAGTTAACACTGACTGAAGAACTTGGAGCTCTTCTCGCTGTGCTAAAGGTAAGGCATTGCTCTTTAAACCCCGGGTCCTCATTATGGTTAGTATCTTTCCTGTTTAGACCCAGGCATAGCTTTACATCATCGCCCTCAGAGTAGCTTTAAAGTAGTATGTTTTAAGAGAGAAAAATAAAATGTTCGTATTTAAGCATATTTAAAGTTAAGAACAGAAAACAGTAATGCTCAGTTTAGCAAGTGTATCAGAATTTTCTCTCTGAATCTTAACTTGAGAAGGGGATAGGTTTTGAGGTGTGATCAGTAGGTAGTTTAATCTTAGATAATCTTGAACGTGCTTATACCTGTTTGTACTTGAAAGAAGTACAAACCAACTTCTGGGCTTTCTCCTCCATATATTGGGTAGGCCAATCAGCAGGCTGCCATCCTTGAGCTTCTGAGCCTGGCCGGTGGTGGGGAAGTCAGTCAGCCTCTCTGGGAACCCAGCTGTCTTCATTTCAGCC